GGATTTAAATTGGATTTTTTCCGATAACTGATATCAATTTTTAAAAACAAAGAACAGCACCTCAAAACTATAAGTAAGGACATTGCTCAACGTGAGTTTGGGGGATATCACTTGTAATTTGTGAAAACTATCACTGAAAAACTGATGAATTTTTTTTGAATCAATATTGGTTTTATCAATTTTTTGCAAAATTGGAGGAACAATCGAAAAATCCGAAGACATCAAGTACGAATGCCATAAATTTCCGATCTGTGTGTGAATTTTCATGCCAATCAGACAAACGGTTTGCTCAGGATGAGGTAACAAGATGACAGACACACACAGACACACTAACAGAATGCCATTTACAGATACTGATGCTAGTTATTGACAAGGTTGCTCACAATTGTTTAACTGAGTGGGATTTCTAGTCAGGCTTCAGAAACACTGTCTACCTACTTGAGCTGATACATTCGATTGAGTCTTTTTTGCAATGCATAAAACACTGGTAGTTTTCACCTCTAGATTTCCCAATCACCTGGTAATATGAGCTGCCCTACAGTCCCTTTCCCAAAACAAGTCTAATTCAGTTGCTGTTGTGTGATTGTGGAGATGTTTAGTATCTCCATTTATGAGTGATGTGTGTCTCTGAAACATTGTCAAAGCTGCCCTTAAAAAGGGAATCAAAATCATTGTCTGGGGGAAATATCAAGTTCTGTGACCATCATACAATAATACTGTCAAGAGTCATAAGAGTACTGAACTGTTATGTAATATCAGTCCTCTTATATGGCAGTACTAGCTTAAAACCTGCCCTATCAGGTGGCAATTAAGCTAGTTCCTGCAGAGGGCTTTTGATTGGGCCTTTAGCTTGTTTGGGAGTTTGAGAGTCCCTAAGCCTTTGCATATTCTCAGCATTGGGAGATCTCCTGGCTGCCATTTGTTCTGAGTTTTCATTTGCATAGGACTTTCTTTCCTTGCTGTAGCCTTGACTCTTTTGATTGCAATCTGGTCCTCTGTTGGTGGAGATTTCTTTTTGCGAAGCATATTGCTACTATATACGACAGACAACAATAAACTACAGAAGAACTCAAAATTGATCACTGCATTTAAGTATTGCATTAATATTTACGCTTACTTTTTAAAAGTTCAACGATAATTCTTCTGTTGCCACTTAATTTAAAGACAATTTGATGTACATAGGTCTTTACTTTCTGTACAAACAATTATTTTTATTTTATGGGTGACTTTCACTAGATTTTGCAATTAATTTCAATTATCCCTAAATTCATTTCCAAGTTAAAAATTGTTATCTTACAAAAAAAATCACATTTAAAAAAAAAAAAAATTGCTGAAAACAATCACAGTAATGAAAACTTGGGAATCTAAAATTTCAGGTTTTCAGCTCTTTATCTGACACAGAATGTTTTTAATTTGCTCATGGAGTTGGCTTGATACCGAAATGGTATGACAGGTTGGGATATGTTAGGAGTAAATTTGAAAAAGTGTGACACACTGACATTCGCATTTATTTATATAGAAATGGCGGATAATCTCCTCACAGATCAAGAGACTTGAAGTGGCAGAAATGTGGTTCTACAGAAGGATACTGAAAATACCATAGACTGAACATGTGAGCAACAATAAAGTTTTAGAGAAAATGGAAACAAAGAGGACACTTATACTTAACTTCAGGAAGAGACAGTTGAAATTTCTAGGGCACATATTGAGGAAAGAAGGCTTAGAAAAATTTATACTCCCAAGACAGACTGAAGACAAGAAGGACAGAGGAATGTAATACTTAGCAAACTTGAGTAAATGGATGGCGGTTTAAGAGACATAACAAGACAAAATTTATTAAGAGCTACAAAGAATAGGAAATTGTGGAGAACAATGACTGCAACCCTCCTGAAGGGAAATGGCACATAGAAAAAGATGATCATACAGTGGAGATGCTTGTGCTCATCTGCTATTGATGCCTTAGTCTTCTCTCTAATTGAGTGATCCTTTATATCTGGGGTATGTCTAAATGTAGCAACATAGCGACTGCCATTTTTCATGTATACAAATCCTATTTTGGGGTAGATTTGTTTGCAGTTGAACTATGCTTGTGTTGATCACTGGGTAATAATTGCCTTCAGCCTAGGGTAACCTAATATTTATTTTAGAATATATTTTTTGATTTTAGAAATTAAGATTATGTAATATAGGAATCCTGAAAATATTCTTTTATTAGTTAGATTCTCTTTTCTAAAATTACATCCTACCTAGATTAAAATGTCATGACTTATGCACTATCACTGAAGGAAAGGAAACTACAGATTGTTGAAATCAACAGAAAAGGTGTTGGGGATATTAACAAAGAAAATATTTCAGAATGTCTCCAAATAATTTTTTTTAATCATTTCAATCCAAACAAGGCAATAATGTCACTAAGATGCCAGGGATTACTAAAAGTGAAAGAGAATGAGGGAAAAGACAATAAGAAAACAGGATTCAGGAAGACAGAAGATAGTGATTGATGTGACATTTAAATTTCCAAAGATTGTAGAAGGTAGGAAAGCAAAAAACCAGAAGAAAGTTACACAAAGTAGTATGAGAAAAACTATTACAATAGAACTTGTAGTTAAATCTAGCTATTCCAACAGTAAAATGATGAGACCTAATTGCCAATCTAGTAGTACACTTAAATGTATGTGGTCAAGGTACCAAGGAGGAGAGCTCATTAGAACAATTGCCATGAAAATGTTTATATTGGAACAAGCTACATGTATAATTTAAAGATAGAATAATGTTGAAGTTTAGATGGTTTTAAAAATTTTTCTGTTTGTTACAGTTTCTAATGTTGTATGCAGTATCCAGGACATAGGTGATAATGACTCTCCACAATTTCCTATCCTTTTTGGGTTTAAGCAATATTTGTCCCCTTAATATCCCTCCCAGTTCTTATTCTACCATCCATTTACACAAGCTTGTTAGGAAGGTTATTCGCTGTTTCACTCAGCTCCCCTTGCCTTCGATATGCCCTATGCTTATCATATTCTCCAAGCTCTCTTTCCTCATTATGTATAACAGAAATTCCAACTCATTTTGCTTCTAAGTACAAGTATCCTTTTTCTTTAAAACTATGTTGTTGCTCACATGTGCACAGCATTCTCAGCATCTGTCTGTAGAACCACATTCCTCTTGCTTTAAGCCTCTTCTTCATCTCTAAGAAAATTGTCTGCATTCACTGCCATATAGAAGGATAGATATGATATAGCATTTCAACACTCTTTTCTTTGTTTCTAATGAAATTGTCTTGTTTAATATTTTGTTTAACTTTTAAAAGACATCTTTCACTAATCTATTTTTTTTTTTTGCTTTCTTCTTTACCTTTGTGTGCTGTGTCCCCTCAGGATATAGGCAATCACGGCTCTCCACAATTTCCTGTCCTTTGTAGCTCTTAATAAATTTTTTCTTTTTGTTATTTTTCCTAAAACCTGGTCCACCATCCATTTACTCAAGCTCATTAAGTATGTTATGCATTGTTTTCTTCTGTCCCTTTTCTGTCCTGTGAGTGTCAGATTTTCCAAGCCCTCTTTCCTCATTAATGTGCCCCAGAAATTTTAACTCTCTCTTTCTGATGTTAAGTATAAGTTTCCTTTTTCTTTTCATTTACTCTAAAAGCTTGTCATGTTCGGTTCATGATATCCTCAGTATCCTCTTTCTATACAGACAGTAATCTGAGGAAGGCTGTAAAATGATTGCCTGGAATGTTGTTTTGACAATATCAAAGAAATAAAAAAATTGGTTCAATTGTTTGGAATAAAAAAAAATGGTGGCAAGAAATAGATATGACAATGTATATAAAGTAAGTTTTGGTAATAAGCCCACAAACATATAAAACCCAGTTTGGATTGAACTCACTATTCAGTGAATAATAGGCTGTAAGACTAGCTTGTTAGTCATTACCCCATGGCAATTATAGAATAGTATAGCTTCTCTTTTATCAGAACAGTATTTACTTTTATCAGGCAGATTTATATTCTATAAATATTCACCTCCTTTAAGAGGTAAATATGCATTTGATGAAAATAATTAAACAGATTTTAGGCACACTTGAAAGTAAAGATTTGACTATAAAATGCATTTTTTTTCTCAAATCCTAAATGTTGTGGCTAGGGACTATAAAAAGCCTATTAGTAGAAATCTTTCAAATGTGAAGGCTTAACAACATCCTGATTCTGCAATCATGACATTTCCAAACCTGTCTCAGCCCTGAAAGTGTGACTAACCTATTTTGTCTGTGGAGGTTTCTGTTACTGAAAATGCTGGCTGCAAAACAGTTAACTGGCTACAATTAATAAAAATTTATCCATCACCAATTTTTATTTTTTAAGAGTGTGTTTCTTTTATTAAGTGATAGGAGACTTTTCTTATTTTTTCAAATAAGTCATGATAAGTAAGATTAGCATAGATTTTACAAATACTGTTGGTCATAAGACATTTTAAATTAGTTCAACACTAGTTTTATCAAGGTTATCATAAGTTTTAGTAATTCAATACCTAACATGGTTTTCTGCTTACTCTTAGGTGCCTAATACATAGGAAGTCTTAATAAGTGGGGAGGGAGGATTTTTTTTTTTATAAACAGGTGAAGAATTGTATAATGATTTAAAAGGGGGAAAAAGTGTAAAATTAATAAATGGGTTGGTGGTTTTGATAAGCTTGGGGGAAAGGAGTCAGAAAATTACAGACCCCAACCTCATCTATTAGCCATCTATGTGTACATAGCAGAATTCTTACATTTCTGAATGCTCATGTATACAGAAAACAGTTTTCAAGTTTTAAGCTGAGAAATAACTGCTTAGAATTAAATATGTAACGTAAAGCCATTTGACACTGATTTGAGGATTATTTTTTACATTAGTTTAAAGTAGAAATTTGTAACATTTTCTTTGTGAACTGTTCAGTTAAACCTAACATCCTTATTAACTGAAAGAAAAAAAGAAGAAAGAAAAAATGTACTAGATACTTACCACTTTGTGATTGATAGGTTTTGGTGGTTGCGCATTGGCTACTGGTTTTAAATACAATAGATTTGAATCTAAATCAAAATCCATCTGCCAACAGTGATAATAGAAATCTGCAATGTAAAAATCAATTTATAAATTATTTATTATTATAAGATCATATAATGCAAACATTAAATCAATGAAACACAATAAATGTAAAATCTTTTAAAGTCATATAAAAAAAGATAAAAAAATAAAACTACTTTTAAATAATTTTATTTAGTTTCACAATTTTTAAATTAAAATTATTTCATGTTCATTTTTAAAAAAAATTACAACTGCAGTCCGACCTCTTTAATTTGGCACCCTTGTGACGAGGCCACAGCTAGATGACAGAAATCAGCCCTAAAAATAATCATATGTAAACAGCTCATTTGACACACACACATTTCATTAAAAGTGACTGACAAGGCACTGCGGTTAAGTTTTTTATTTAATTTTTCATTTGTTATAAGTTTCTTGATGTAAATTATGTAGAAATTGTCCAAATATTTTGTATGTCCAAGTGCTTTCAGCTGTTCTTTTAGCCATTATCAAAGATGAATTTTATTTTTACTTTTAACTGAATGTATGGGTTGCTTTATGTATGTATCTAGAGTTATAGGAATGTTTTTATTTTCCAAATATGGTCAGCACATTGTGGCCATGTTCATAGTTGATGTTATTGAGTGTTGGCTTTTTTATTTATTAATAATGCTTCCACTACATTTAGCTTTTTTTTTTAAATTTCTTTTTTACATGTGGATAAGATTATTATATTTGTATTATCAATGAGTATCTTGCAGATAGTGTTTGGTAGGTCTAAATGTGTATTTAAATGGGATCTAATTGAGCTTATATATATATATATATATATATATGTGTGTGTGTGTAAAAGAATCCATTGTAAGTAATACAAGTAGATCCTATCAATATAAAATATTAAAACTGATCTACAAAAGAGAGCTTAATATAATTTTTATTATAGAGCATATAAGTGAATTATGGTGAATGAAACCAAACAAATTACCCTATATAGATGGGCATTTCATAAGAAAAAAAAATTTTTAACAAATGTATTTGCATTGACAAGTTTAGGGAAATGTTTTTTCCCATGAATGAAATGGCCATCTGTATGGGGTAATTTGCTTGGGTTTCATTGACTGTAATTCATATATATATATATATATATATATATATAAAATAATCATTACTGATTCAGTACAAAATGTTTATTGTTTCATGCAATACAAAGGAAAAACAAACGAAACCTAAAAACAAAAAACTAAATATATACTTACTATCCTGAAAGTGTAAATATGTAGCAATATATAAGAAATGAGCAATATATAAAAAATGAGCAATATCAACAAAAACACTCTGCTGCTATCCCCTGCTGCAGAAATTTGTAAACAATATGTTGTGTTGCCTTTGTAGCTTTTCATGGAACTAATGGCAACTGATACAAAGAAATGTCGAACTTGGGTGTTGCCGGATTAAAGAGATTGGACTCAGCTTTTTATAATAAACAAAATGGTGTCAAGTTATATCACAGGTTAAGAAAAGCATTTCAATAAAAAAAAAACATGAAAATATATATATTGTAAGTGTCAACATAAAAATATTGTTCTTTTGTTGCTTGTTATTAACAAAACAAGGCTTGCAGTCTCTGTCCACAGATACATGAACCTTGTCTTGAATGCTCCCAGAAAAATTATGTTAAGCTATTTTTTTTTAACTTATTTAGAACACATTTTTAAGCAGAATAGCTGACTGTTTTTACAACTAACTGCTGCAGTCAACGATTTAGCAGTAAAATAATTTCACAAAAAGCTTAAAAAAAAAGAAAAGTCAAATTAAATAGGCTAGGTAGAATTTTATAAGTCAGCTGTAGAAAATAATTTATGTCTATCTGAGGACTGACATAAATTATTAGTTTATTGTCAGTCCTCAGATAGACATAAATTATCTTCTACTGCTAACTTTGAAATTTCAGTAAAGTTATCAATTACATGACAGACACCTGAATGTTTTAAGGATATAATAGCTGAACTGTGACAATAAGAACAAAGAGGAGGACAGTTTGGGGAAAAATTACTGAGTTCTATGTGCCATGTCCCTTCAGGACATGGGCAATCATGGCTCTCCACAACTTCTTATCCTTTGTAGCACTTAGTAATGTTTACCTTTTTATTATTCCTCCTACTCCCTGTTTTAGCATCCATTTACACAAGCTTGATGAGAACACTAGTTTGAGCAAATTAGTGTATAATAACAGTAATTATCTAAAAAGTTCAGACAAAACTAGTCTATGGTGATACTTGCATTCTGCCAGAGGTTGTATCTTTACTTTCCTTTCTGTAATTGAACTCTTATGCTGGTTGAATCATGTAATTGTTAATATTGTTTTGTACACCCCAGAAATGGAAGCTATAATAATTTACTTCCTTTATTTCTAAACTAATCTCTTATAAGATCTGAAACTAATCTTCTCTAATTTCATCTCTTGTAGCTGCCAATTTCTGTGTATACATTATAGGTTAAAAGTTTGGGGCCACCCTTTAGATTTCAAAAAACTGCCTAAAAACTGAAGGTTGCATGGATTTTTTAAAACTAATGTACAAGCTCATTTCACCCCAGAGGGATTTTCCCTTCCTGAAGGATGTTTTCATATATTCAATAATAATAAAATTAACCCATTACTGTATTAGGTTTCCTCAATGTTTTAGCTCTATTGCCTTGCTGGCTAATGAAAGTCTTTGGGCTGGTGGATTTAAAATTTTAGGTAAAACCCTCTCTAGAAAATTGGACACTATACCCTAATAGATTAAATAGCTTTCTAGCTTCTTCTTCTATGTGCTGTGTCACATCAGTACATTGGTAATCCTTACGCTCTAAACTTCCTGTCCTTTGTAACTCTTAATAAATTTTGTCTTTTTCTTATTTCTCCTAAACCTTGTTCCTGACATACATTTACTCAAGTTTGCTTGGTCTTTCCCCTGTCCCTCTTGTCTTCAATCTTGGAGAATCCCAGGTGATGACAGGAAGAACCAGATTGATTATATATATATACAAAATGTTCAGAAATGCAGTTCTACACTGAAAAACATACCCAAGTGCTGACATCAAGAGCAACCATTTTCCAGTTGTGTGCTACATCAGAGTAAAACTACAGAAACTAAAGACCAAAGCAATGCATAAACTGCAATATGACAGATTCCTGAAGTACCCAAGGCATAAGGAGATGTTCAAAACAGACAGAGTTCACAGGGATCTGTGTAAAAAAAAAATCCAGGACTATTCCAGTACCATGTTAAGTTTCAAGGACTGAAAGAGATGTGCATGCACATACACAAAGTGAATGGTCATCAATTTAAAAAATATACACTTTGTGATTTATCTTTTAATAGTTTGATAGATGAGATGTTCAAAGAAAAGCTACAGCTGGTTTCACTAATTCATATCACATGGATCAATTGAAAGCAGTGAAGAAATGAAAGTGTTGAAGGCTAAAAAACACAACTGAATTTTGTGTAGCCTTCTATACAGTTTGGAGTTCTACTACACTTGAAAATTTTGAATTACACACTTTAATTCTTACTGTTACACATTTCAGCTATCAAGACTACTCATGGTTTGTGAATGTCAAAAAAATTCATGACTGTTGTACATTTCCTGTGAATTGTAATGGTTTTAATGAACATAATGGCAAATAGAAATTTTCACAAAAAAAGACTACAGAATTTAGCTAACTCTACTACTAATGGCTTTCGTTGAACATGACACAGAAGACAATGATAACATTTTTTCAGTTCATCTAGTTTAACATTCAGCTTCTCTTCCAATTTTGATATCTCTATGGAATTGTCCTTTGCAGATTTTCACATGGCATTGTACTTTGCGATAAGTGTAAAGTTCTGAGTCTGCTCAGTTTTCTCTGCATAGCTGTCAGCTGACATGAGCAAATCTTGTGTGCAACTTTTAAGCTTGTGTTTTTGGTTTTCAATTCTTCAATTTCTATGACAATGGATTTCCGTTTTTGTCCAGCTGCTTCTTCCTGTATTTTCTTCTTCTCAGACTCAAGTTGTATGCTTTTGTGGCAATGGAAGCACTGTAAAGAAGAGACAGTCATGGGAACATTGACAGCACATCCAACTGTGGTCAAATAGTCTGTAAATCTAGCTCGAGCTTAGTTGTTATTATCAAGAGCTTGGTATACAAATTCAGTTATGGTTGTAAGCATATCAGTGGGAGACCAGGCAAAGTAGAAAACATATTGTTTGTCAGAGAGTAGCTCATGGGAAGTAAGGTGCTTAACCACTTTGGGATTGATTAAAGCCTCAAAGACTGAGTGGTAAGAGACTGATAGGACAGTAGTTAGATAGGTCAGAAGGGTCTCCAGAGTTCTTAAAAACAGGGACAACAGATGAGGACTTCCAACAGGTTGGAAAGCAAGAGTCAGTAAGGCAATAGTTATATAGTTTGGAGAGAACTGGAGCCACTCAGGAGCACATTTTGTTAGAACTACAGTTGGTATCCTGTCACCACCATTTGCTTTATGAGAGTCTAATTTAGAGATGATGTCTAATACCATTGACAGAATTATGCTCATCTTACTCAATACACACGTGTGTCTATATGATATAAGTATAGAGCATATGTAAATATATAATGTATAATTTAATATATACAACAAATAATTAAATAATAAATAATGAGTAAAAAGATAACAAGTAACACTATACAGTAGCTACAAATTTGAATCCACAATTATTGCCATTCAATAGCCTCCAGAATAATTTGTAATATAACTATTACCACCTACTCAATAACTGTTTGGATAATATAATAGATGTTGCTATCCATAATGCACCATTCAGTAACATATATAAATAGTTGAGTCAAACACACAAAGATTGAAGATTTTATTCAAGCATAAAACAGACTTGTCACTCAATGTTGACCTCAAAGTCCACACACACTGAGGTCTTGTGTGAGGATGAATGGAGGCATAATGTCACCATCACAAACTCTTTTCGAATTCTCTCCACTGTCCTTAGATTGACAAACAAACACTGAAATGTTTGTATTG